ACATTTGTTTTCAAATCATACAGAATGGAGTTCTGAAATGCCCTATCATGGATAAATCAAACAAAATCCTCATTTGCTTCCTTTATCCATTTGGAATAGTTATTGTTTTCCTTCTATGAAAAAAATGTTCTGGTTACTTTCTCCTCTTACAGGGATTTATAAATATTAGAGAAGTACTTTTTAAGAGAAATAATTTTTAATAAGTGATATCAAATTGCTGCATACAAAAAATGGAATCTGTTTTCAAAGTACTGTACAAAACATTGTGCAAGCATATGAATGATAAGACTGTACATACCATGATGTAAGTATTAGCATCTCTAATTTATAGACAAGAAAACTGAAACCCAGAGAAATTAAGTAACTTGGATTAAAATCATTCAGAGTCAGAGGCAGAGCTTGGTCTTGAACTCAGGAGTTCTGGGTCTCTAGCTGCTTACTTGGTCACTGCATAATTGTGCTTTTTGAAAACATTACTTTTTAGAAGAAGGAAGATTGGTTTAAATTTTTACTGTAATATTTGTCATGGTTTAGCAATTATACCAGTGGTGTGACAAATGTGTTGCCCCTTTGCCATTATGATCTGTTAAGTTAAGACAATCATAATACTCAGCATTTGTCAAGGGGACCATCAAGTAAGGGTCCCACTCTGTGCTTCTGGAAGGGACGGGACCTTTGGTGAAAAGGGTGGGACTGGGGCAGTCTTTCCACCAGCCCTCAGAGCCATACAAAGTAAGCAGTGCACACTCTGAAGGCAATTCAAAGAGTCTGGGACTCTGGCTGCCACTGTTCTGGTGGTAGCATCAACAGCTGGGAGCACTGATCCCTTCTGAATCACTAGGACCTGGGGCAACTGTTCTCTTTCTCCTTCCTCCCTCCCCACCCCGCGTGGTGGGCCTGGCACCTGTTATCTAAGCATAACAAATTATGTTTCAAAACATTAACTATAGTAGTACTATATCCATTTTTACAGGAAGATTAACTGAGGCTAAGTAGTTTGCCTGAGCACATGTAGCAAGTCAATATCCAATACAAGAATTAAATCCAAAGGTGAAATCTTGCTCCCACTGAAATCTATGGGAGTTCTGATACTGATATTGTATAACTTCCTGTTTCTGCAAATTGTGAAAGTGACTTCAGGTTCTTGGATGCCAGGCATGAAATACTTACAGTAGTTATGGCAACTGGCTGAACTAGAAAGCATGAATTGTTCTTCAGTTGCTGATATGTTGGCCGTCTATAGACAATGCAATCTATTGCCCCGACACTTCTGACTATCATATTACAAATACCATAGCCCCTCAGATGAGATACAGCTTTACATCTTTTTAATGTAATTAGCCTCAGAGAGCATTCCATGTCTTGTAAAGAATCTGACAGGTTTCCTCTGAAATGTTAAAAAACAATTAAGATGTCAGAGGAGGAAGCACTAGTACATTTTAATAATAAATCTCTATATACATAATTACCACTGGATGTTTTATGAAGAATGTTTTATAAGAAACTTATCTTGACCATTCTTTGTCACAAACATAACTCCAAAACACATAATAGATCATTCACTAATAATTGCCACACATGCACACACATTCTAGAACAGTGTTTCTGAAAGTGCCCCATGAAACCACTTTGAGAAACACATTAACTGGCTACCACGGTTTGTTTATTTACTGGTGCCGTGGCCACGGAGCTTCGCGGCTCCCATTGACTTCATTTAAACCTTTGCAGCCAAGGGGAGCCACGGGAAGCAGCATGGTCTGGGCTTCTTCCTGTGACTCCCTTTGGCTGCAGAGGATGAAACGGAGCCAATGGGAGCCGTGAGGCTGTGTGGCTGCGGTGCAGTAAATAAACAAACTGGGGCGGCCAGTTAATGTGTTTCTCAAAGTGATTTCACAGCACACTTTCAGAAACACTGTTCTAGAGAGTATTTCTGTGACCCCAAACCTATATTCCTTGTCTACCCAGAAGTTTAACTCAATGGACTTTTGAGTTGTATAAAAGTGTCAGACTGCAGAATCCATATATTTGGATGTGTGAGGATAGACCTTCCTTCGTATGTTGACTCAGGAAACCCAGAACTCTTTTCCCTGTAGATTTTGGCAAGTAGATTCAACAGGCTGCATTAATTTGGGCAAGAAAATTTACATATTTCCTATTGCACTTTTAAAAAAAAATTCTATTCCTTTTGTGATACAATATTATATAGGATTGCTCCAATCACTCTACTTAAAATGCACACTTTGACAATGTAGTTCTTAGTAACTATGGCTCTGGACCCTTGGAGTTGGACACCTTTGAAGATCTGGTTCTGTATATCTGAAATGGTTTATATACAGGCTTGGAAGGATTCGATTTTTTATCAACAATGTCACTGTACACACACAAAAATAATAATAATAGATGCTTACAGATAAGCAAAATGAGAAAAAAGCTGCTTGAGAACTTATCACAGTCAAAATCCAGTGATGTATACTTTTCAATTGACTTGTCACAAATGGCCTAGCAAATGATCAGTAAAAAGAGTTATGGTATATTGATTCAAGGATATTTAGTGCATATATTTTGACATGTTATGTTGATTTTTGAGTTTTAATGGTTTATAAAGCTGCAACTTTTTGATTCTGTCTTCAGTCATCATGTACTTGTCTAACCCTCCCATAATTTCCTGCAACTGTTGAAAATTTAAATTGATAAAAATATTTGAAAAAATAAAAATAAAAGCATATATTATATGTCAAAATTATTAAAAATGAAAATGCATTCAGTCAATCCTATTTATATAACTCAGTACATTTTCCAAACACAAAATTAATTCTAAATGGCTGCTTTGTAAGAGGGGTCTAACTGAATTTTGAGTGGGAGTGGATAAAGTTCTGGGAGAGGAAGACAATACTCCAGTTCTGTGGAAGTGGATAGAACTGAAAGTTTTGGATGGCTATACTCATCCTTGGTCAGATTGTACTAAAAAAAATGTCAAGTACAAAAGCTTTATCAAAACTCTTTGTGCTAATTTTCAAAATGTAGTACACTGTTGACAAGGTATGTGGAGACTGTCCATTTGTATAAATAATGCAGTCATATTGTTTGAACATTAAACTGCTCTTATTGAGTGATTTTCCTCATCTGCTCGATTCTTTCTGATGCTACATGACAAAAGTTCCCATTACTGAGTGCTCTTTCATACTTTGTCAAAAAATAAAGAGTGGAGATAAGGAGGATAAAGCTAATTTGTAATCTGAGATATGTAACCTGGTTATGCTGTGTTCGAGATGAACATACTATGTTGGTCAAAAGTTTAAAAGCATAAACACTAAACCATTACCTAGTTAAACATTAATTCAGTATGTAAACAACATGATTTACAAGTGCAGTCAGTGAAGCCTCATCACTTTGCTATTCACATCAAAAGTAGATAATTTTTTAAGTAAAAAAATACAGAAACTGAGATTTTGCCAACTGCCTTCTACATAGAGAAAAATTCTAAGAGTATGTCTACACAGCAGGGCTAAAGCCAAATTAAGCTATGCAACTTCAATTTCAATTGCTGCAGCTTTTGGCACTTTCTACACAGCAGAAAGTTGAAGAACACTCTTCTTTTGACTCCCCTTACTCCTCATGAAATGAGGGTTAGTGTGAGCTGGAGTAAGAAGTCCTCTAGCTAAACATCATTTCAAAATAAAGGCTTGTGGTGTTCTTTGTTATTTCAGAATAACATCAGTTATTCCAAAATAATTCTGGTGTATAGACATAGCCTAAGAGGTGCAATTGACACTGGGAGTGTATTCCTAAATCCTGACAGACTAGACAAGATATATTCTCAAAAGAGTTCATTTACAAGGATAACAAATAAAAAGGAAAGTATAAGAAAAATATAAGTTTGTTTAGTGTACACTAGTTACCTTTCAGACTTTGAAATGTTGCTATTAGAATTGCTTAAGAACATAAGAACGGCCATACTGGGTCAAACCATAGGTCCATCTAGCCCAGTATCCTGTCTGCTAACAGTGTCCAATGCCAGATGCCCCAGAGGTAGTGAACAGAACAGGGAATCTTTGAGCAATCCATCTTCCATTATCCATTCCCAGCCTCTGACAGATGCTAGGGACACCACTCCTACCCATCTCGGCTTATAGTAATTGATGAACCTAACCTCCATGAATTTATCTAGTTCTTTCTTGAACCCTGTCTTTACAACCTCCTCCGGCAAGGAGTTCCACAGGCCAACTGTACTCTGTGTGAAGAAAAACTTCCTTTTGTTTGTTTTAAACTTGCTACCTATTACCATTACAATACCATTCTGTTTCTTAAACTTTCCTGAGCTTCACATAAAGGCACATTTTGGGCAAACTGCAAATATTGAAGTATTTGGTTGTCTCAGACAACTGGATTTTTCAAAGCAAACAGTAAGTGATTAAATCAAATACTGTGACTGGACTTTTTAAAAGGCTGGATAATTTTATGACCCAGTAATCACAGTACAGGGGAGATTAGGCACTGATTCTGCAAGCTATTGTATACAATAGAAGTCATACATTAGGAGCAATCAGGCTACGTGTGAGTGGAAGTGTCTGTTCATATGTGTGGGCTTTCAGGATCAGGGATATCATGATTTACTTTTGTATGCTCGAGATTTAAACAGCACAGAGATCTGTATTTTAGAAATAACTCCTATCAGAATTCTAGACTGAACCAAAAGCACAGAGCTAAGGACACTTTAAGATTATAAGGTTCAAAATACAAATCACAATTTTGTGGCTTGAGTCTTTCTGTAATTTGCAGTAAATTATGTTCTTAAGAGCAATTGTATCCCAACTGGGGCATAAAATAAAAACCTGCAGGAGTCAGGAAGGGTTTGGTACTTCCTTTTTCTGTCTAACTATTATATAGGAGTAATTGGTTAATGCACAAGGCTTTGAAGAAGCAAAGTGCCCATTATTATTATTATGAATGTATTATTGTTTATCATGTTTTAATACATTTATCTTCTCTTCTCTGTTTAGATCAAGTTTTTGGCTCCCATTTGCACTTAGTATGTGAGCATGAAAATTCCACAGTCCCCCTATTTGTAAAACGGTGTATAGAAGCTGTTGAAAAAAGAGGTGAGTAACTTAATATTCATCACTATTTTTCATTCCTGTGGCCATATTTACAAGTGATGTTCTAACTTCACAACTCCACTTGTCTCGCTGAAGTAGTCATGCAGATCAAATTATACTTTAGTGATTCACTCAACTATTACAGATTCCTTCCTTCTATTCTTTTTACAATAGAGATATTAATAAAACCAATTAATGCTAATTATTTTCTCTATTTTGTCTGTTTGACATATGGTTGACTAAATAACAAACTTTTTGTGTGCAAGCCAATGCTAAAACATTCATAAAAATGTCAGTGATTATAGTGCAACAACCCTTATAACATTCATACTAAGATCCCAGGTGGTTATTATGCTGCTACATTTTTTGGTAAGTCCCCAATGTTCCCTAAACAAAACAAATGCCAGTTTAACTTGTCAGTAGTTTTAGAGTCTATCTTACATTTTTTCCCCTCTTTTGCATTTGGGTGTCTTTATTACTGATGTTTCAGGGGGTAGCTGAGTTAGTCTGTACAGGATAAACTTAAAACAACAAATGGCCTGCTAGCAGCTTATAGACAACAAAACATGTAGATGATATCATGAGCATTCGTAGGCACAGCCCACTTCTTCAGAAGACATAGTACTCTCCCATGGTAATGAATGACTTTCATTCCTATATTAAGTACGTTGAGTAGGTATTCTTATATATGCTTATAGGTGTCTGTCCCATTTACCAGATACTTGGTCATGAATCCAGGTGTGTGTGTGTGTGTGTGTGTGTGTGTGTGTGTGCATGCATAAATGGTCCCCAAAATGAGACCTCACTCTTGTGGAAGCATAACAAAAATAGTTCAAAGTTAAACAGAAAAATGAAAGCTGATGTAAATCAGTTGTGTGTTTCAGCTTCTCTGTCTCCTACGGTCCATTGTTAATGCTAAATTATAAAAGAATAACTGAAGGAAGTATGTAAGATATCCGTATGGATATCAAATGAATTCATAAGGATTAATAGGAAAATGTGTGTCATTTTTTTCTACAGAGCAAATGATCCTTTAAAGTATTGTATTATTATTCTTGGGTTCACATGCTTTTTTTCACAATCATTGAATTAGTTTTAAGCAAGTATATCATTTTAGTTAGCACAGTATGTAAATAAAAACTAATCTCAGTGGCAAGAGATAAAATTTCATTGTACTGTATTTATGAGTTTGTACTTGATATACATTTTTCTATTATCACTTTCTTGGATTAATATCTTTGCATTTACTCATATTCTATTTACTCTAAGTGTTGTTTTTAATAAGTTCTGGCATAAACTATCTCAGGACAGCAGTAATTTATATGATGCTAAGTCCAATGTTTATGCAAGCTTCTGATGACATTTTATACTGGGCTTGGTATTAGGAAGCGGTATGTGGAGGTGCCAAGTCTCCCGGCATGGCTGAGACTCAACAGATCTAAAGCCCTCCTCCTAATGGCCAGATATGCCTCTAGCCAAGATACTCAACTGCAGAGTCATGGGAAATACTTATGTACCAATTATGGGAAAGGCACATTTAATGAAAACTTTATGTTTACTTTCATAGTCTTAGTAAGATGGCCTAAATTCTCAGAACAGCTGGCACATTTGTTTTTATGGAAAAGAATTTTTCACCATAGCTACTTTTCTTTTTAGAAAATATGTAATCTTTACTGTACTCTACCAAAAAATATTACTTACACACTTCCTATGAGTTTATGTTCCCTTTACATTGCCTGTTTGAACCAGAAAGAATACAGCATTCATGATTTCCTGGAGAACTGTGCTCTTAACAAGATAATCTTATCCATTGTGTTACAGTGGAGCTTATATGTCATATACTATGACCAATAAAGTGTTGTTTAATTTTTTCAATTTTCAATTCAGTATGTTTGCTATCTTGATTGTTTCACATTATACTGTCAAACTACAATAGGATTCTCCAGTACACTGAGAAAATAGGTTAGGTAACTTGCTATTGGCCAGGTTGTTTTTTTTTATCTTAGTTACACTAGTGTGTGTCCAGTATACCCACATAACCTCAATGGAGTTACTCTGGAATCACACTGATGTAACTAAATCCAGATTCTGGACCGTTGATGCTATGGGATGTTGTTTGCCTCTTAGCCAAGCCTTTTAATATGGACAGAAATGACAAGAATTCTTTGTGTCCCTTAAAGTTCTCTTTGCAGGCCATAAATGCAGATATAGCAAGCCTGCAAGCATCTGTGTATAGAATTGTGAACTCCAACATTATTTATTTCCTTTATTATTTCTCCTTTAATCTCCTTTATTATTTCTAATTGTTCAGACTCTCTCTTACTGAGCCATATTGCAGGTCTGCCATAAATATTACATAAAAATGTTGGTCCCAATTCTACAAACCCTGCATGAGTAGTCCATTGACTGAAAGTGTTCAGGAACAGCTCCTGTTCTTTCTCCAATATTTGGTGAAATGCTTTCCTAAAAAATTTGAGGAGCCCAGCTCCTTAAAGTCAATAGGACCTTTTCTACCAGATTAACTAGAGGCAAAAGTGGATTCATGGTGTCCAGCGTAGTACAGGTTGAAACTCTCTTCTCTGGGATTCTCTGTCTGGCAACATCCATGGTCTGGCGTGGAAGTTGCAGGACCAGAGAGTCTAGTGCAGGGCCAGTGGCACAGATCCCAACAGAGCCAGCATGGCAGTGGGCTGCCTGAAGTGAGCTGATGGTAGGGCTTCCCAGCACATGGCGGTAGGACTTCCCAGCATGGTTGAGAGACCTAGCGTGGGGCTGCCCAGCGATACTGGGATCCATGGTAGCTCAGTGGGGTGGGGAGCCATGGTACTCAACTACCCTGTGGGACAGGGAGCCCCAGTGCAGCACGTGCATCTGCCCTGCAAGACCCAGAGCCCCAGAGCAGCACATGTGACTGCCTTGTGGAACCTGGAGCCACGGCAACAATGGCTTTCCAATGGGGTCAACAGGGCAGCGGAGCCAGAAGGAGCTGTGGAACCATCCAGGAGGCTAATGGATGGGAAAGAGGGGCCAGCGGCAGGGGTCTGGAAATGACCTCACCTGGTCCAGCAAAATCCCTTATCTGGGACTTATCAGATCCCCAGGGTGCTGGACCAGGAAGGTCCAACCTGTAGTTCTTACAGAGAAAGCTTCTATTATTTCCTTAAGGCTAGATGGTTACTGAACATTCTGCCTTGAATGAGGTTGGTGTGTATTTTGATTACCTGATGGGTACACTAAGGGAAAATTTGTGAGTGACAAAGTTACAGTTCTTCTCTTGCTCCCGCTTTGTCTGGGAGTGGGAAGAATCAGAAGACTGGAAGGGACCTCTAGAAGCTATCTACTTCAGTGCCCTACACCAGTGTTTCTCAAAGTGCGCTGCGGGCTCACTTTGGGAAAGCCTCTTGCAGGCCCACACCACTTTGTTTACCTAAATGCACCACAGCCACAGAGCCTCATGGCTCCCATTGGCTGCAATTTGCCATTTCTAGCCAATGGAAGATGTGGGAAGTGGAGGCCTGAGCTACGCTGCTTCCCACAGCTGCCCTTGGCTGGAAATGGCAACCTGGAGCCAATGGGAGCTGTGAGGCTCTGTAGGTAAACAAGTAGTGCAGGCCTCCTAGTGGTTTTCCCAAAGAGGCCCCATGGCCCACTTTGAGAAAAACTGCCCTACACTCATGATAGGACAAGAATTATCTAGACCACCCCTGACAGATGCTTGTCTAATCTGCTCTAAAAAATTGTCAGTAATGGAGATTCCACAGCCTTCCTGCAACTCATCTGGAGAGTTAGGAAGTTTTTCCTAATACCTAACCAAAACCTCCTTTGCTGTACTTCAGCCCATTACTTCTTTGTCCTATCCTCAGAGGTTAACAAAAACATTTCAAGACTCTTTCTTTTAATGGTCTTTTATGTACTTGAAAACAATTATCTCAGTCTTCTTCAGACTAAACAAACATTTTTTTTCAGTCTTCCCTCAGATGTTATGTTTTGTAGATCTTTAATCATTTTTCTTACTCTTCTCTGGACTGTCTCTATTTTTTCACATTTTTCCTGAAATAGGGCACCTAGAACTGAACACACTACTCCAGGTAAGTAGAGCAAAAGAATTACTTCTCATGCCTTGCTTGCAACACTCCTGCTAATACATCTGAAAATGATGCTCCTTTTTTAAACAGTTTTATGCTGCTGATTCATATGGCGTTTTGTCTGCTATGACCACCAGATCCTTTTCTGCAGTACTCCTTCCTAGTCAGTCATTTCCCATGTTGTATGTGAGCAACTTATTATTCCCTTCTTAAGTGGAGTACTTTCCATTTGTCCTTATTGGATTTTATCCTGTTTACTTCAGATCATTTCTCTAATTTGTCCAGGTCATTTTGAATTTTAATCCTAATCTCCAAAGCACTTGAAATCCCTTCTCCACACACCCCACTTGGAATCATCCATTAACTTTTTATGTGCACTCTCTGTGCCGTTATGTAAATCATTGATGAAGATATTGAACAGAATCAGACCCGGAAATGACCCCCCTTAAGGATGCCTTTCTAGTCTGGCTGTGAACCACTGATAACTACTCTCTGGAAACAGTTTTGCAGCCAGTTATGTACCAGACTTATAGTAGCTCCATCTAGGTTTCATTTAAATAGTTTGTTTATGAGACTAAAGTCAAGATGTACCACAGCGAGGCTGTGTCTACACTGGAATGAATTTCCGGAACTGCTTAAAATGGAATACTATTCCGTTTTCAGTTTTTCCGGAAAAGGAGCGTCTACATTGGCAGGCTGCTTTTCCGGAAAAGTGTCTGTGGCCAATGTAGATGCGCTTTTCCGGAAAAGAGCCCCGATCACCATTTTCGCGATCGGTGCTTTTTTCCGGAAAAGACTACTGGGCTGTCTACACTGGCCCTTTTCCGGAACAGTGTTCTGGAATAAGGACTTATGCCCGAGAGGGAGCAGAATAGTTTTTCCGGAATAGCGGCTGATTTTGTACAGTAGAGCATTGTT